TCTGTGATTCTGTGATTCTGTGAAATAAAGATAGGATACATTTAAAATGAAAATGAAAAGATAATTTTAACAAAATATTTTTAAAGTCTCTTTGGAATAATATAATTATTACTTACCCTAGATACCAGCTGGAAAGAATTACAGAGAAAGGGTTTTTTTAATTTTTTCTCTTCTTTGTTGTGTAGTGTCACACACTTGCAGGGGAAACTTACAACAAGCAAATAGAAGCATTAATGAGGAACTAAAAGGTCTAATTAATATTTAGAAATATTTAATTTGTTCACTGAAAAAATTCTCACTCGCATGCATGGTTTTGAAAAAAAAGAGTTGAAGTAGCCAGAATGCCTACTACTTTCACTCTGCTCACAATCCTGAACCAATACAGCTTTCATCACTCCTGTATCCATCCAGGTGCTCATTTAATTACTATGCTTTGGAGTTGTCATCATTTTGCTGGGTTTATATTTGGTTACTACATAATTTGTTGAAAATCCTACCTTCTCCTTCAAAATTCTCTTCAAATTTGTAAGCCTTCAGTTTAAGTTTAGTTTCTGCTGTTGTGCAAATAACTTCAAAAACACAGACTGAATCTAACCACATACCTGTTCAAGTCAGTAGGCAACCTGAAATTATAGTTGTGAAACATTTGGACATTAACACTTTCTTCCTCACTTAATTTGTTTTGTAGAAACAGTGAAATATATCAGATATCCTCCACATACCAAATCCTCCCGTTTCTTCTCTGACATTAGCAACATACATTTTTGAGTTTCAGACTGATCATATAGGAAGGTCATTATAAATTGAGTTCAGTGTAGAAGTGATACAATTGGTTGAAACAGCCTGGGAACCCAAGAAAACAAAGATTTAAGGGTTTTTTTTTCCTCTCCTGTTTTCAATAGTGCTAAGCATTATTTCAGCTAAATTAGTGTCTTTGACCCTTTTTCTGTGATAAATTTTCTACATGTTTTGTGAAAACAGGTGGCTTACAGAGAGAGTGAGCTTCAAATGCCCTCATTGATGAACAGGTTACAAAAATACCTCAGTGACATTATTTGGCACAAGAGTCAGAGAGTGCAGGAGCAAGCATCGTGGGATACTGTGGGAGGACCACAGGAAGCCTTCATCACAAGTTCTGCTGTTCATGGAAATATTTTTAAGTTAAAGAATGTTCTATCCTTTAATTGAAGCTATAATAAAATACACGATTTGCCATGATAGAGCCCCCAGAATCCAACTAGATATTAAAAAAAAAAAGCTATTTTGCAAAAACTTTTGCCCGGCAAGGGAATGCTGTAAATGGCAAGAAAATGTTATTTGTTAATGGCAGGAAAGTTTTCAACAAGTCCAGGTACTAGTTGGGCTGCAAGCCTGGCATTTCAGAGGTGTCCTGAAATCTCAGCAGTCAGGAACACTTTTATTCAAGGTCTTCCACTTCCCAGAAAATGGGTCACTATTGTAATGGCCTAGGTATTTCCTCAGGGATTTCAGCAATGACTGTGAAGGCATTGCAATTAGCAGGAGCTGGGTTGCAAATCCAGCTGGTTGTATTGGAGGCTTGAAACATTTCCTCGATGGCACAGAAGTTACAGCACGCAGGATGAAGTGAGGTTTGGGAACATAGCACAGGGGACATGAGTGCCTGCATAAAGGGCATGACTTCTTCAAAGATGCTGTTGTGTTTCCAGTGCCTTTGGGACTTCTGCATATTGGGGATTTCTGTGTGGATTGGGAGTGATTTCTGTGCTGTCCACATGTCCATAATCAAAACAGAGGAGACTGAAATATTTTAATTTCTCCTTCCTAACCCTTTCTGACACTTCTTCTTTCACATGAAATAATGATGCTGGATTTGGGGGGGAGGGAAGGAAAGCTGACTCTTCCCCCCCCCCCTTTTTTTTTTCCTCCCAAGCCTAATACAGCTTAATTGTAAAAGACAAAACCAGTAGACTAGTTTTCTGGATCAAGTTTATCCGTGTGCCATCTGCTGGTGAGGCAAAGCAAGGGAACATTTCCAAATCGTTTGGTGTTCCTGTGGTGCTGAACAGACACGTCTCCACCTGAAGACAGTAAAAGCAACAGGTTTCTGAGCATTTCTGATCATGTTTAACTCAGGGCAAAGTCATTTAGCTTACCTGAAGAGAATCAACTGTAGTTACAACAATGTCTCTGCTTTTTTAAGGTGCCTGTGCTTACCTTTCTATGATTCTGTCACATAAAAATTAGAGGTGGTGTTGTAAGGATTTATCTAACAGTATCACATGTGTCTCCTTCTGGAATTACACTAACTCTGAAATACAGAAAATTCTGGAATATTTAGGTTATTTTGAGCAACTGTGAAAAAAACCCTTCTGATTCTTAGGTGTCTGCTATAGTCTAGATTTCTGGCATATATGTGGTTTTTTCCCTTTCCTACTGCTGGTCTGGAAACTTCCCAGCAAAGAGTAGTGGGAGCACTATTATTGTGCACTGCCTTTAATACTGTAAAGTCGCAGAAACCCGTACTGTATAAAGGCTGGCTTTTCTAACTGTGAAATCCTCATATTAATTCAAAATTTCCTTGATATTTATTTCGCTTCATAAGAGTGGGGATTGAGTTTATTGTGAAGTGTAACTTCACAATAGGGTCCCAATAAAGTATTCTGCAAATTTCCACATATGCTAATGATTTTCAATTTATTTATTTTCTCGAGACACATTTTGTTGCTTCCTAAACTAATCCTAGTCAATTGAAATTTATAAGGTCTTTTTAAAAAGGCCTTTGGGGAAATAATATTAAAATATTACTAAAGGAACAATTTGGTTTGCTGCATCTCTACTAATTATTAGTCAGACACTATGTTAACCATCTTGTGCAACATGTTGTTGCACTGAAAGTAGAGCTTCAGAATGTTGTGGTTACATACCTAATTGCAATTGGGCTGTAACAGTCATTTTATAACAGTGGGGGGAAAAAAAAAAAAAAAAAAAAAAAACCAACCTGGAAAGCCAGATACTGGGCATGCAGGAGGTAAGAAGCCATAAAAGGTAGAACTAAGAGGCTTTTAAGATGTGTGGCATGGCTTCTTGCACCACCCAGTCAATTAGTAATTATGTCAACCCAACTGAAGGCCACTGAGAAGAGATTCCCATTCATCTTGGGTATGCCCAGCTTGCTGCTTTATCTGATGAGGGGTGGAAAGCTGGAGGTGGCCAGTAATTGTAGAGCAGCAGAGTTACTGCCCCAGAGCTGTAGTGCTTCCAATCTCTGGGAAACGGTTTCGTGGCAATTGCAGACTCTTGAACTGACAGATGAGAAGTAGGATGGGAATGGAAAGACCATATGGACCTTGATAGTAATAACAAATTTGAAGAAATTGGCTGTATGGTTTTATAATTGATGTTAAGTAAGCGTGCTATATTTACTCTGTTAAAGAAATCTTGTTTGTTTTGCTTTACATTCTAAGCAGGGTCTTGGAAATCTTAAAGGAATGCTTTGTATACACCAGTATTTGTAGTAATAGGAAGTCTCCTGTTAAAATGTGCTCTAGAATTGGTGCAGTTTCTTAATTAATTCATTTGCAGATTTTGAAATTGTAGGTTGTGTAACAGACACTGGTTGTGAGCCCAACAGTACAACATTTTCAAGGAGGAGACACAGAACTTTTAATTCACATTAGTTCATTTTTCATAACAAATGGTTGTTTAAGTTTTGTCAGCATCTACACTTGCCTGTTCCCAGTCTATTGAAATGCCAGAAGATTGAATGGCAAACCAAATTATTCTTGTATTAACAATAGATTTTTGAAGTAGTGTGTTCTCGTTGATAGGATGATATTCACACAAGCATAATTCCTTCAATCTGTTAAGCTTGCGTTTTAGTATAATGCTAACCACAATCATTGTCTACATACAGAATATTTTTCATATTAGTCATTTGATGTAATGGTAGAATTTGATCAATAAAACTTTTAAACAAATGAGAGGTTAGCATAGGTACAAAACTGTGGCTGTATCTCTGTGCAGTTTAATGACCAATGTAAAGTTCAGACTGACATGATCTAATGCTTTCTTCCACTGTTTATCTCCCTGAATCAGTGAAAATACTACCATCGTATCTTGATGTTTAGATTAAGTTACTTAACTACACTGTTGTGCTTCAGTAATAGCATAATGTTTAAATATGATTTTTTCCTCTATGATAAAGGTCCGCTACAGTCATTCATGAGTTCTTTGGGGAAAGATTCTCTGCTTTATCTTGTCCGTCTTGTTATGCATTTTCTTTTTTCTAACATTTGTTTTGTTTGGCTCTTTGTTGAAGTGAGTGAATACCCAGCTGTTGGCATTCCCAGATGTGGTCCAGCGAGTCCATTTAAAGGACATTTGAGTACTAAGAGTAATGGTAAGTAATGCATGTGCTTTCGTCAGAAGGTTGACATGGCTCCTTTTATGTGAATTCATTGATTTAGTGATTAAAATGTTTTTATAATTAAAACCTTTGCATTGAACTCAATTGGTGAAGTTTAATAGTACTTACACTTAGTATGTATTACTGAAAATACTTCTGAGGAGCAAGTTTTGCTTTGACTGTACTGCTAGCTAGAAACAGTTAGCAAGATATCCAAATATATATCATAGAATCATAGAATGGTTTGGGCTGGAAAGGACCTTAGAGATCATCAAGTTCCAACCCCCCCTGCCATGAGCAGGGACACCTCCCACTAGACCAGGTTGCTCAAAGCCTCATCCAGCCTGGCCTTGAACACCTCCAGGGATGGGGCATCCACAGCTTCTCTGGGCAACCTGTTCCGGTGTCTCACCACGCTCACAGTAAAGAACTTCTTCCTAATATCTAGTCTGAATCTGCCCTCTTCCAATTTAAATCCATTACACCTCATTCTGTCACTGCATGCCCTTTTAAAAAGCCCCTCTTCATCTCTCCTGTAGCCCTCTTTAGGTACTGAAAGGCTGCTGTAAGGTTGCCCTGGAGCCTTCTCTTCTCCAGGCTGAACAACCCCAACTCTCTCAGCCTGTCGCATCTATATTAGCTGGAATATAGACATGGTTACTGCTTTAAAGAACCCTTGAGGTTAAGCATATTCCTTTACAGGCAGTAGTTTACATGGGCTAGTGTATGTTTCTGTGCCATACTGCCATCTCAGACACTTTTTTCAAAAGAGCATAGAATGAAGAAACAGGACATTTCCATGCTGACATTCAGAGTCCACCTTCAGCCACTTCTGTAGCTATTTATTGAGTTAAAGGCTCAGTGGGGGAAAAAAAAAAACAAAGGAGACAAGATGATTTCATGTGATAGTAGCTGCTGAGGAAAAATGACAGCTATTGGGCAAAGAAGTTAAGTACACAATAATTTAAAGTTTGGCTTTGAATTGCAGTTAATAACTGTTTAAAATTTTAGTATTATTGTGCCTGCCTTTATAATGTTCACATACGTTTTAATCTTACAGCTTTCTGCATTGACTCCTCTGGAAGTCTAACCAGCCAGTACATGATCAGAGATCACATGGTGTTTCATTATAACAAAATCCGTTCAGCCAAAGGTAAAAATGTGCATACATGAGCAAACTTTCTACCCCCAGATTTAGCTCTTTCTTTCAGAATAGGTTTATTTCACGAGGGAACGAATTGGATTGTAGGAAGTGTAGTTTTCTTCCTGTTTCATACCCAGACTGATGTCAGCAAGGAGATATGGCTGCTACTTAATATTTTTGTATTATTGGAAGTTTTTGTATGAAAACATTTTCCTTAAGTCCTACCAAAGAGAGTACTTTAATTTTAGGGTGCTTCCTGCTGTTTTCTCCCCATTTTGCTTTTGATGAAATAAAGAATTATGAAATATTGTACTGAACTGAAAATTGAGATAGTCACAATGGCAAATAAATAGAATTTATTTTATCAGTGAATCCAGAACATTTTCAGTTAAACTAAGACCACTGTCTTGTCTTTTTTGTTGCTTTTTTTGGTGTGGTTTTTTTTTAATTTAAAAATGTTCATTATCTTTTGTTCATATTTCAATCAATGGCCCCAGGTAGTTTTAAGGACTTTGAAAATTACCCTGTGTGTTTGCAAATGAGAAAATTGTGTTACTAGTCTGTATTACTGAAGACTAAAAATGTATATGATTTTTGCACATATTTTAATACTAAAAGATACTTACATATATGAAAAGACAAATATTATGAAATCTGGAACTTAAAAGCCTATTGAACTTGTACGTCTTTGTATGGTTTTCAATTATGTCAAGATCCTGATAAAAAATTTTTCAGATTTAGAAATGTTTGTTTACTCCACTATGAACTGGCAATACCACGTTGTCAGTGCTATAAATGAAAACAAACTGAATTACAACCAAAGTTATTTTTTTAAGGTCATATAATGAGTACGGAATATTGTGTTTAAAAAGTTAATACCATGCACAGAGCTCAGAAAAGTCTGTAGATGGTTGATAATGTTGTTTACAGTTCACAGCCTATTTTCATTCTTCGTGGCATAAACTTGTCTTGGGGATCTTGGTCCTAGAGATATTAATGCTAGGGCTTGGCAGGATGTCCTGAGTATTTAAAATAAATGCTTAAAATTTTGCAGGATATGAGTTAAAAGAGAAATGTTTTTCAATGCCTCCTAAAACATTGTACACTTCTTTTTCTCGGTATTTTCAGAAATAGGGTTTTGGAGGTGGTTCTGCTGATTCTCTTAATCATCCCTCCTTTCCTTAATGTCTGCTTTAAAGAAAGGTACACCGGGGCTTTGGATTCTTCAGAGTCCATGCTGACAAATATGCTGTCATCTATCTGCCATGCAACATACTCAGTATCCTCAGATGTGCAGTTAAATGCCATTAGCACAAAATGTATAGAAGCCTCGTGTAAGGAATCTAAATTTAAATGAGGATTCTTCCTTCAAATATATATTTTACTTTAACACCTTTATCTTGAAAATTTTCTGACTGCATTAATATCAGTCTAATACTTTAAATACACAGTAATTTTTAAAATAGAAAATTTGCTGTGTTCTAATGAAATTAGTCTTTGTTCTGTTGTTTTATTGCTGCTTCTTTCTAGCCACCACAAATACTAAGATACTGAATCACTCACATTTATTTTTTTTCTTATTTTCAGCTGTTGTAGACTGTTCAATGCCCAAGAGTAGGTTGGCCAGCATCAAACGTAAGTATTTGTGATACATTAACTCTGCAAAAGCTTCTGTAAAACTAACTTTACAAAAGAGGCAGAGGAGTAGAAGAGTGACAATATATATAGCCGTTAATAAAGCATTCATGTATGTGCTTGTTTCCTCAGCTTTTCTTACACTGCTCCAGCTATTTGTAAGGATCTGCAGTGAATGTAATGCTAGTGAGATGGACCTAGTCTGTTAGTGATTAATTGTGCTTATAATCACAACTAATTTTGCTTACGATCCTTTTCATCCACACAGTTAATGGAGCATGTAGGAGAAATTTCAGCATTTTCTCTCTGCTTTCTTCTGATATGATGTGAGCTTGAACTTTCAGGAAGAGAGCTTACTAGTGCAAGGTCAAGAGGAATTTTGGGAATGTGGGCACCTGTGGACTGGAACTGAAACTTTAAAGATACCAGTACTGTAACCTTACTTCATAGTGTTAGCTGAAGAGCAATCAAATCATAGATTTAGGGAATACTAAATGAAGTGCATTAGTCAAAGGAGATAAATAGCAGCTGTTTGTTAAAATATCAAAGGTATATTTCTATTTTCGGATGTCTTTCTCTAATGCAATTAGAGAAAGTTGTTTTTCTCCAATTCAATATTTAATTACAACTGCTGAGAAGAAATTAAAGTATTCTTTTAGGATGGAAAGATAAATCTTCTGAGGACAGAATACTTTGTGGTTAGTCTCAAATCCAGTCAAGCCAGAGTGATACTGCCTTGTAAAATGATCAGAATAACTAGAGCTAATGCAGGAAATCGGTCATCCTTTTGGCAGAAAGACTCAATTTCATTAGAATTTTTTTCAGTACTTCTGCACAATGTATTGAGACTGAATTAAGCAACAAGCTGCACCAGGATCAAATATGCTGTATGTGGCTTGCCTTCTGTTTTAAAAAAGTGTAGCACAAATAGCAACAGTATCGCAGAGGTATCTAGAGTCTGCAGATAGGAGTAGGAATTTCAGATCACCTGTTCTGCAGAGTCGTCTTAAAAACATCTTCCTTCTCATGCTCCAGTTCTACCAAGATTTGCTTTGAAACAAGCATGAAAATACAGGGTTGGTGTAAGAAGAAAATTTACACCTATGTGTTTGTGTAATAAAAACATCATGTAGCTTTTCCTTGTGCATCTGCTAGAATATTTCTTAGTTTCCTTAGTTAACAATTATTCTTCCATACCTTTTCAGGTCTTGGGTCTTTCTCAACAACAACAAATGTCCATTTATTTTAGTCTGCTGTCTTTACAGACAAAAAGCTTCTGAGCTGATAGCTTGTGTGTTCCACACCAGAGTGAATTTCCCTGAATAATGAGTTTGTTTTGGGAGACAGAGGCAGTGCCTTAACCTTAACTGATAATTGTCACGACACTAGCAGGTGTGCTCTGTAATGAGGAAATTTCCATTTCAGATAGCAAGGCTTTGTGCAATATGTTTCTCTTTTCAGTTCATCTTACTCAGACCCATGTCTGACTATGTAACTCTGTCCTGGTCACAGACAGAACATTAATCTCCTATACATGGTGTGACGGAAACATTTCACCTTTGTTGCTGCTTTTGTTTTTACCCATCTGTTTGATAAAACTGGTACACTAAATCCTTGCTAAATAGCTTTTTCACCTATTTTCAAACTGGGCTGTAAAAACCTGCTGCTGTGTTTTATCTTATTAGAACATGCGTACAGCCAACACAGCCCTAGAAGATGTTTCCTGTTCACAAAGAAAAAAACCTTGAAGCTAGGGAAAAAAAAATAAACTCTTTGATTACAAAAAAGAAATCCTCAATTTACCTTCTATTATTCTAGCCTAAGACTTGGGAGTGCTACTTGTTGCTTAGTTGAAATTTATTAATATTGCCAAAGTAGGGCTAGCTCATAAAGTGAAGGTGAACATCGTAGCTCAAGGATTCATTTGGAAGAAATGTTGGACTTACTTCTCAGTCTCCCAGAGCTGAGTTCCCGTGTGATTAGAGTGCTTTATCCTTAGATTTAGCTCAATTCTAACATACAGTTTGTTTGCTTGATGTTCTGCACTGTGAGGAATTGTGCAATTATAAAGTGACAATGAATTTGCTATTTTTAAAAATCTGTTTAACAAAGCAATAAATAATGTTGTATTTTTCTCCCCTAAAAGGGGCTTCTCAAGACAGTATTATGTCTCTGCCCCAGTTTTCAGGTTTTATTCTGTCAGATGCTTCATGTTCTCTAATAAAAATGAGAGAGTGCCAAGTGAAAGATAGAAAGCAAAGTAATAAAGCAAACCTGTAAACAATATATTTCTATTAGAATATTCCTCAACATAGTGTTTTTACTTTGCAGTGCTGAAAAATGTTCCCAATTACATTTTCATCTTCAACTGTCTGCATAAAATGCTGCAAACACTTGTTTTTCTTGCAGTAGGAGATTCCCATTTCTTTTTTGCAAGAGTGAGAGAAATGTCTCAACATGTAATTTCACTGGAATTCAACACTTGCCCCGGACACAAGGCTAGAAGTTATATAGCTTGCTTGCTGGTTCTGTTTACCATTTCTACTATTTCAGACAAACGTCTTTCAACCCAATAGCGATGAGAGACAGGGGTTCATAATTTCCTGTCTCGTGATTTATCTTCAACAGCTCAGTCTGTATGCATTATACTTTCTCCTAATGTTTCAGAAGTTCAACTTCTGTCACGTACCTGCTTTCATGTAATCACAGAAATGTTGGTTGTAAGAGATCTTGGGCGGTCCTTTAGTCCTCTTTGAGCTTCCTGCTCAAGGTAGGACTTCTGCCAACACTAGATCAGTCAGCCAAGTCTTGGAAACCTCCAGGGATGGAGATTCTGCAACCTGAGTAACCTGTTCCAGTGTTGCAATATCTGCATAGTTAAAAGATTTTTTCCAGATGTCCAGTTCAAACACTGTCAGGATTATAACTGAATTTACTTCAAAGCATTTATCCTGGTAATTCTAGTTTTAAAAGGCAATTTTTGGGTGGTGGAATATAAGAGTTTTAGATGCCATAGTTGAAATTATTGTTTCATGATGGTCAATGGCAAAAGTTTCTCAACTGCCGTAGGTCAGGATTTTCATGTATGCATTTGTACCAGATACTTAAGATTATCCTTTCGTAATAAAAATGTTTGAGGATTAATATCTGAACTCAGTGTGTGCATGTAACTGATATTTTTTTCTGACCTGCTTTCTTCATATGATTTGTCACCTGAGATCACTTTATAAACAGATCAGAAACTCTGCCACACAGGCTGAAATTTGTACGGAGTTAGCAAAGAGATAATTCCTTGGGGCACATCTACTTTCAAATTCTTCGTTATTGGACTTGCTGGCTTCAAGGTATTTAAGGTTAAGACTACTCAGGCATCCCTTATCCGGTATCTTTGCTATTTGTATAAACTCTAGATCTTCAGAATGAAAGTGAAAATTATTTCCATTTATTTCATACCTAAAATTAGAGTGGTTGGGGTTCTTTCCTACTGTTCTATGTATTGTTCATCAAGAACTACAGATTTCTGTACTGTAGTAATAGTGCAACCAAGTGTTACGTGTTCAGGTGTTAAGCTCAGTGCAGGGTATCGTTTGTAGTGTCTGGCAATCCACCAGAGAATAGTTTTTCTTCCTCTGCCTTTTCTGAAATGGATTATGTGGAGATGACAGCCAATAGCTCAGGCAGTAAGAGTATTGAAAATGTACTGAGGAAGAAAGTAAGGGAAAAGGATTTTTAGAATATCTTCAAACCAATTTCTTTTTTCTTGCTGGAGATGGGACATATAATTTGTCCAAGCACAGCTGCAACATCAGTATGACTGAATATCAGGGGAATGTCTGTAGTGTCACTGAGGTCACGGGGGTTACAGTTTTATTCTCCCAGTAGATCTGTGCTTGTAATTGCCTCAGCTGAGGCATGTTATTACTTTTTCCTTTTTGTATTCCTTGTCTTCCTACATATTGCATCCCAAATAAGGTTTCCGTTCCCCCTCTATTTCAAAAAAGATTTGGGAAGGGGGGTAAATTTTCAGGTTGAAATGCTAAGATTTATTATTCCTACAGATAATGTTAAAAAAGGTCCCCTGAAAATGTGCTTCATGTACTGCTAAAATAGCAGGTGAGTATTTCCCTTTGGGGTTGTTGCCATGAATCAGTCATTAGTGTTTAAGGATTAAACACGATACTGTATTTGGCATTCTCCCTGGCCAACTGAATGTGTTCTGTCCTTAAGGTGGATTTAGTTTCCACTGTTCTTTTCCTGGTATCTTAGCTGGCAGCAAAGTAGGCAAGCTGCCATGCCACTGGACTAGCAGTGAGCATGTTCTTGTGTATTAGATCAGCCTTATTGACTTAAAATAGTTGTTAAAATGTGAAACTTCTTGAAATGTGAAACTTCTATGTTCAGAGTTAGTCCAAGCATGTTGATTGATACCAGTGGCCATTAGAAATATGTGGTTGTGGAATTTGTGCCAGAAAACTTGACAAAAGCTATGCCAAGTAAGACAGCTGCTGCTACACATGCCTGGTTTCTAACAGTACTAACGTTTCAACCTGTATGTTTAGAGATTTTTCCACCGGGCATACTGATAGTACAGACTGAACCCAGTGATTAGTGTGCTTGGAAATGTACGTCTCTGATACTGAGGCGGGGGGCGGGGAGAAGAAGGAAAAAAAAAGTATTCTGAGAAGTTACCCACCAGAAATCTGTTTTAGCACTGATGGAACTTAAATACTTGGGGTGAGAAGTGAGGGCTGGGGGAAGACAACAATTCGGACTTCTGGGGAGATTAGGGGTTATGTTCAAGTTAAAATATTATTAAATGTATATTCTTATTTAATTCTGTATTTAAATTTTAATTTTTCATGTGATCACATACATATTTTACATTAACTCTGTCTACTCTATATGCTATGAAAAGCAGAGATTTATGAAAAGCTGTCTTACATGTCTTGTTGTTGCTGCTGTTTTACAGGAAGCTTTCATAAAATCTCCCTACCTTTGAT